AATTTATATTAAACATTTAGCAGATTACATAATCATCCAGTTCAGACAAGGCAAAGCTAAGACAAACACTGCAGAAGAGGAGAAAAAATGGAGGAGATTTATCAAGGTAAATGTCCCTTCCCCAAACATTAGGTAATCCTCCAATGCATACTTAAAAAGGGTTAAAAAAAAAAAAAGAAGTTTTTAGCACTTACCTTAATTCAGGTGCAGAGGACCCTTAGTGCTGGCTCAGTCTCCTCCTCCCGCAACTTCACACTGATGGAGATTCTCAAGCGCATGAGAAGTGCCGGTCAAGCCATTAAAAGCATTTCATTATGGGGAATTTGAACATGCTGGATGTTCTCATGCAAACTATACAAACAGAATGGACAAGCGCTATAAAAATCAACCACCAGCTTACTAAGGCAGCAAACACAGGCGATCTCCCTAAATACCCTGAAAGCAGAGGATAAAATACAACAAACAAGACGAGGTGTGCCTAATAGGAAAATACAAATTTTTTAAATAGGATTATAAGAAAGTCCAGAATTGTATATGTTCAACAAACGGTCTTGCTTGTTTTAGCTTTTGATATTATCTCCATGTGTACATGTAAAAAAACAAACATAGGAGAGAATCAATGGTCCAGTATTTCTTTGTAAGTGAAGACACACAACAACTGTGTAGAATTTCCAACTCACATGGTATGGAGCTCCAGACAAGCTCCAATCGCAGTAGCATATACTGGAATAATCCCCACCAGTGGATTTAGGTGCCGTAAATATGGTATTAGTGATTATTAAGTGATGAATACTTAATGACAAGAGAATAGATCCAATAGTGTAATATAGTTTATATATAGGCTTAAAAAGAGGGGATCTTACATACTACGCTCAAGTTATCAGGCACAGGGCTGTACTAAACCCACCTTAAGGATATCTCTTGGTCACAATTTCTATGGTTGTATAGATGAAACCAACAATAGAGAAAGAAGAAACAAAGCTGTGAGCTGTACTCACATTTATCAGGGAAGTGAGGCTGCTCAGAGCACTATCAGTGCTCTCATAAACGTGAGTATGGCTCCTATATATATCTTTCTCTCTCCCCCCTCACTCTGTGATCTTCATACAAGATATTTACGACCCTCTGCAAGAATGGTGTCTATTTTCTTTCAAACCTGTGTCTTATCTGCACTCATGTCACTTTAACCCCTGTATCATAACTCAACTTTGAATTCTATTTGTCGTCTTGCTCAGAAATGCTTTAGACTTGAGAAGGGAGGTTCTCCCGAAAGCTTGTTGTAATGGACCTACAGTAACCCGACTGGTTACCTCCGCTAATTCCCTTCCTTCAGCTGGATGGGAACCAGTTGGGGCATAAGGAGACCTATTTTCATCCCTCTCCCCCCCAGTTACTGGACGACACACAGTCCTGGATGTTCAACACAATTTTATAGGCCCACCTATAAAATCGACTAGTCTCCGTTCGCGAGGTCCTGGTGTGAAACCCAGACAAGGGAAGTGTCTTCTTTTGGGGTATGAATTGCCCCCCCTGGCTGACATTCATCTATACAAATGGCGGTCACCCAGGGAAGCACTAATTAATTACTTCCCTTGTGGTTTCACACCTATGTTGCGACTGCGAATGATCTGATTAATTGATGTGAGCATTCTAATGGGGCACCGGGGAGGTCCTCGTTTGGGAAACGAACAAGGCAGGCAACAATCCACAAATGCTCCCCGGGGTGGCATTTGTCTAAACGAACGGCGGCCACCCAGGGTTATTATTTGTTTCCCTTGCGGTTTGTGGTTTTGACACTTGGGTTGCAAGGTGGGAACATTCTAACCTAACATTCTAAATGAGGATTTGGGGTGGTCCATGTTCGGGAGGTAAATGAATTCCCTTTGTGGAAACACTCCCGAACAGGGAGCAGGCACAATAAGCGAACATCCAGGGGGAATACATGTAAGAGAGAGGGAAAACCCACGAACAGGCAGAGGTTCCGCCACACTTGTCATTTAAAAATTCTGTTAATCCAATAAAAAAGGTATTACAAGATACAAATTTTACCTGTACTAATATGGCTACAATCTCTACTTGAACGTATATATATATATATATATTTATTTTTTTCAAATTTATTTATTTTACAAACATACAAACATAGACAATTACCCTTCTCTACATAACTTAACTGTAATTTCAACAAAATAATAATAAAAAAAGTAATATCCAAATTAAGAAGTGATACTGCTTGACAAAAATAAGGTTGTCGCTATTTGCCTTTAAAAAATATGATAAATAAATAAAAGAGTAATTTTATGCTTTAATTTTAATTAACATTTCTCAAAACTGTCAAAGCCCAAACCACAGTACATTATCTGTTTTGCTCTAGTGATTGTCTGGGATGATATTTAATACAATGATTTTCATTTTCCCATATGTAAAATGCTATTTAAAAATAAATAAAAAAAATAGATCCATGGCTTAATTTTAACTTTTCTGAAACCCCAAGGTCACCTTCAGGAGAGCACCCAATCTTAAAAATATATTAGCACCCTCGAAATTTAAATCTGATATAAAGTATACACCTAAGAGTGATTGAAGAACTGGAAGTTTTCGTTTTGGTCATAACAGGTGCCTTAAGTGTGGTTTGATATGTCATCAAATATCTACATTTAAACCTTGCAAGAGTGAGGAAGTTTTTACTGTCCTTTATATAATCAAATGCAACTCCATATTTGTCACATATTTACGACTTACGTGCGCTTATGGGCTGCAGTATGTTGGTCAAACCACAAGATCCTTGAAATGCATAGATTGGCCATCCTATATAAAGATAGATGACCACCAGTTGCCGTCATTTTGAGATGTCCCACAATAGCGATCCCTCATCTATCCGAGTGATGGGAATAGATCTAACTCCAGTCAGAAGAGACCGAACGAAAAGGAAGAGAGATTTAACAAGGGCGGAATCCAAATGGATATTCAAGCTCAGCACCCTGGCCCCCAACAGTCTCAATGGGGAACTGGAAGAATTCTGAGTTTTGATCTAGAAATGGCCTTTTCCACTTCATCACTTTTGAGATATGTTTTACACATATATCTCCTGGAAATATCAGTTCCTCCTGTCTGCTCTGGAAGCAGAGTTTCTGTAGTTGTTCATCCTATTTTTTTTTACTATCTTACCCTTTGACTGGCATGAGGTCTTAGCTTTCTATCCTTTATTTTGTGTTTAGAGATATCCATCTACTTTAAATATAATCATTTGCCAAGTATATCGTGTGATAACGAATTTATGCATACATGCAGGGTGGGCAGCATAATCATATCAGTCCACCAAGTAAGTGTCTATCTATTAATACAGGGTGGAGAATGTACACCTGAATGGAGAAAGATCAAGATGTATAAATATATGCTTTTATATCATTATTCAATCTATAAAAAAGAAAAAAGATACCCACAAGCTCCAGGGAGAGATAACTATTCATAACAACATTCATAACAACATTTATTTTTACTGTTCTCTGGGTTTTTTGGGACTGCTCCCATTTTTGTATCCTACTATAAAAACTTAAGATTTTGTCCACTTTTCTATAGTCTCTCTGATTTCATAGATAAGTGTCCTCCATATGATCTGCCTATTTGTTTAAAGAGTACATCTATCTATATACATTTCCCATGCCACTATTAGCTTTGTTGTCACTACAATCTTTTTAGATGATTTTAATGCCAGTATGTGTATATAAGTGATTTCTATTTTTGTGCCAAAGGGGTTATATCTCCTTTTATTTTAATTTTAAATTGCTTGATAATTAATGTCTTTATTCACATTCTCACGTGTAGATCCATTCCAGGTCTTATATCTGTCTTGATATAGATGGTTCCTTCACAGGGTATTTAAGCCATGTGATACACTCTGATTACAGTCTTTAGAAAGTTCCGTAAGAGGAATGAAACGCGTAGCCGTATGAGACGTATCAGCTGTTTCCTGCTCTCCAGCCGATCTCCAGACACTGTGCCATTATTTACCGCAGTCTTTTTCGAAGATCCTGACTGCAGCATCCATTCAGCTGACATCCAGCCTGAGACCACCTGTCAGTTTATCAGTAATATACTACTAATGAGCTCTCATCAATGACTATCAGCCATCACTGAAACAACTTGTCATGTGTATTCGTTTTTGTCTGAATACAATTTCGTCCGAACATTCATTTTTTTTCGTATTCGTTTACTAAAACGTAAATGAAAGCCCTACAAACTAAATATAAATGAAACAAAACGGCAAATGCTGAATGCATTACCTTTTCGTTTCGTTAATTTTATAGACTCATTTTATAGGGAATTAACCCCTACAGCACAGAGAAATAACAGTGCTCATGCGAGAAACAAAAAAAAAAAAACAAGGAGGGAGCTGGCAATGCTACTAGCTCCCTGCTTGTAATAAATAAATAACTATTCCTACCTCCCCCCTGCATTAAAACCAGAGGGTTATGAGTCAAATTACACAGCATGGGAAAATTCCAAAGAACTTTCCCACGCTGTGTAAAATGACACAGAACACTCTGATTGGTTGGATTTCAAGCCAACCAATCAGAGTACTGTGAAAGTTACTATAACTTTTGGTTACATATACTCTTACCATAGCTCTCTATCACTTAGCTTTTTAACCTCTGGTGGGGGCCCACACCAAGGTCAGGTACTTTTTATCTAACAGATAGTCACAGTTGTGGATCTACATATCTAAGGTACATATCTCTGTTTATTAGCACTCATCATCATATATATTTTATTCCTTGTGATCCTATAATTAATACAGCACCGCTGATAAGACTTATTGTGTGTAAAGTATTGGTTTTCATACCACTGTCTTTTCAAAACTGTTATGAATGAATACAACATTTAGGTGTTTCATATTTGTTACATATTGACACTTCATAACTAGTGATGTCGTGAACCGTCCGCGAACTTGCCGCGAACCATTCGCCACGGTTCGCCACGAACCGTTCGTGGCGAACTCCGGTCAGCTGACACATCCCTGCCAATCTCCGGCAGACCCTCCGTCCCAGACCCTCCTACTTCCTGGACAGCATCCATGTTGAAGGCATCTTCAACATGAATGCTGTCCAGGAGGTGGGAGGGTCTGGGAGGGAGGGTCTGCCGGAGATTGGCAGGGATGTGTCAGCTGACCGGAGTTCACCGCGAACGGTTCATGGCGAACCGTTCGCGGCAAGTTCGCGGACGGTTCGCGACGTCCCTATTCATAACCCCTCACGCTGGGTTGCAACACACTGCTTAATTTTTTAAAACTGTTGCAAGATTCCCAGCTTGAAGTGTTCTGATGGTAAAAGTATATATTTTTATTTATCTATGTGTTTTTTTCCCTAGTTTTTATGACATCTTACGGGATTGTGGTCTCTAGAATATACACCTTTTCCGTTTTGTGGTCTCTAGAGTATATATCTCTCCCGTTTTGTTTTTTTGAAGGGGGTATATCTTTAACAGATTTGTTCTGTTTAAAGTGACATCCATAGAGACTTTTACTATCCTGTATTTTGTTATTTTTAAACATCACAATTCTCCCGTTGGTTTCATAAACAAAGCTCTTTATTTTTTATTATTTAGCACAATCTGCTGCCACAGTGTGCTGTGATTATGGTATTCAACATCTACCTATCTATAACTATCAGGATTCACTTGCATATGAGAATTGTCTCTATATAGAGACTGAGTGTTGTTTGACAGGAGTAACGATTTCAGTAGAATTTCGCTATTTTATGTGTAGATTTTATTTCCTATTAAAGATTTATTTGTTTTTCAATAAAAAAGGTTTTTTTTTCCGTTTTGTACACATTTTGGGAGTGCACATACTACATTCTTTATATTTTGAATTTCTTCTTTTTAAGTCGCTTGTATCTGTATGTAACTGCCCACATTATTTCTTTATTTTTTTTTACATTCTTTATTTTTGCAGGTGATGCACTAGAATACATTTGAATAAAAGGTTACATGCTTAGTTCACGGTGTACTCAATCGATGAACATTGTATACACTTTGTTATCACCCATATATTTTTATAATGGACTAGATCATATATACTAGATATTATGACTCACATGACATGCTATTACGTCAGTATGTCGTCTGGGAATCTGGGCCCGCGAGAGGGATTCATAGTCGGGTGTAAGGAGTCTGTCAGGTCCTACCATAGTGTGTAATTACCACGTAGTTGTCTAAACATGCTATAAACCATATAAAAACATGGAAAACATAGTAGAACATGTATGTAGGAACTTATACCAAAAATTGCAACTTAAGGTCCAAATACAGTGTGCTTAGTCAAGGCGCTTGGGTATATCCTGGTTTGTGGAGGCATATTATTTCATCGCCATAGTTGCCAGTGGTTTATCCTTTTACTTTTGTTAAACATAGACAATTACCCTTCTCTACATAACCTAAATCTCAACAAAATAATAATAAAAAAAGTAATATCCCGATTTAGAGGTGTTATTGTTTGACAAAAATAAACTTATGGCTAATTACCTTAAAAAAAACATAAATGAGTAATTTTATGCTTTATTTTAATTAACATTTCTCAAAACTGTCAAAGCCTAAACCACAGTACATTATCTGTTCTGCTCTAGTGATTGTCTGGGATGAAATTTAATACAATGATTTTCCTTTTCCCATATGTAAAATGCTATTTAGAACTCAGACAAATTTGACATTTTTGTGATTGTTAATTAATAAAAGGTTTTATAGGCATTTGCTATCAAATTATATATAGTAATTCCAAATAGGATATAAAACCCCAGTCCTTAAGCTTCCTGAACAGAGAACAATTTTAGAATGTTTTAAATGGAGAACACACACAGAAGTTAAAAAGCAATCATTAGCTCAAATACTGATACACAAACAGCACAATCATACCTTTCTAAAGGAGGCATGTCAGCCTGTCTGGCCATCCCAAATCAGTGCTAACTTTGCTTAGAGTGCAGCAGAAGTGCTCTAAGCATGAATCATTAACTCCAAGGTTGCTCGGTACAGTAGAAGCATATGGTAGGATAAAACTTACAAGGAAAAGTTAAAGGATCTTAACATGTATAGCTTGGAGGAAAGACAAGACAGGAGATATGATAGAAACATTTATATACAAAAATGGAATCAACACTGTAATGGAGGGGACTATATTTAAAAAAAAAAAGAAAAAGAAAAATTACCACAACAAGAGGACATAGTCTTCAATTAGAGGTACAGAGGTTTAAAAATAATATCAGGTAGTATTACTTTACTGAGAGGGTAGTGGATGCATGGAATAGCCTTCCAGCTGAAGTGGTAGAGGTTAACATAGTGAAGGAGTTTAAGCATGCGTGGGACAGGCATAAGGCTATCCTATCTATAACTATAAGGCCAGGGACTATTGAAAGTATTTAGAAAATTGGGCAGACTAGATGGGCCGAATGTCCTGTAAAGCATGATATAATGGATTAACACATAACTTTTTTTTTTTTTTACTGTATTTCCAATTTCTGACTATTTAGTTAGTTTACCATGGAGAGAGGCTTCGCGTTAATCTATGCTTTACTATTTCTAAGCTTGAAGGAATACAGCCCCTTAAGAGATGTTTTTATATGTACCTCGTTTTACCTAATTCAGACGTTGATGTCAATAATTGTAACCTACGAGGAAAATGTTTGTACCAAAGATAAGGTTTGAATCAATTGGCTTTAAGGTGAAGTTTCACAGACTCCACCTATTGGAGTGATTACTAATCAGAGCAACTAACCATTCCCCCTAAGTTCCTTCAAGCAGCACAGCATCATGGACTATCAACTAACATCTTTTGGCCATCACTAATAAAGCCTGTCAATGAGCGGGCAGCCTTGAGTAATTATCTCTTAGTCAGGGAAAAGCTTAACCCCTTAAGGACACATGACATGTGTGACATGTCATGATTCCATTTTATTCCAGAAGTTTGGTCCTTAAGGGGTTAAAGCTTTCCAACTTACTAACTAGACTTTCTCTGCAATTCTTGCTTTGGGCAAGTTTATATCTACACAGTGTTTACCATCTATCCAGTGCATATCCAAATTCAAAATCATTTCTTTTTTGCATGTGGATATTATTACGTTTCTTTCTTTCTATAACTATGTACTCCTCTACTGTGGTCCTTGAAGCCACTTTACAGAAGTGCAAGAGACACAAGACTGGAAAGTAGGAGACAGATGGGGGAGTAGGAGACACATCATGGGATATTAGAGCCCAAGGGGCGGATATATGAGACACAGTAGAGGGGATGAGATGTGTGGAACATACAAGAAAGTGGGTATGAGACACAAAAGTGGGGTAGGGGACCCAAGGGAAGAGTGTAAGAGATGCAAGAGGGCATTAGAGACATACTGGGGCCATAAGAGACAATTTAGAGGGGTGAGTATCAACCTACAGTTTTGTCCTAGGTGCCAGTTAGCCTAAGTATTTCTCTGGGTCTGGATCAGTCCTGGAGTAAGTTGATGCATCCTGTTTGTAGCTTTGCATCTTGATGTAATGATCCTGTGCTGATTGACAACATTCCCTGTTGCCTCCAGATGTAGGATATTAAGGAACAAACTCAGGATGGTGGGCCAGAACTCTTAAAGGGATACTATAGGCATCAAAACATTTTACGCTTGATGAAGCAGTTTTGGTGTATAGCTCATGTCCCTGCAGTTTCATGCTCAATTCTCTGCCATTTTGAGTATAAAGATTACCTAACCTATAATATGAAAATAAAATATAGTGCAACACATTATGTTCATTATGTACAATTATGTGCTGTCACAAATAAATATGAACACTTGATAGTACTACACTATATCCGTGTCTTTTTCCTTCCCTCCTCCATATCTCTCTGAGCGTGGGAATTCCTTCACAGGCGCTGCTCCCTGGTCCTACTACCTATAAGCCATGAAAGGCAATCAGCATAGAAAAAAAGCTTGTAAAGTTATGATTATTGAAGTAAAATCCTCCAAACCATTTGTCCTTCTGCAATTCGACAACTTCGCTACATAGTTACATAGGCTGAAAAGAAGCATGTGTCCATCAAGTTCAGCCTTTACCAAAAATATGCCAAAATAGTTTATAAGTGGTAGTTCGTGGTCATGTGAAAGCAAGTCAAATCATTATTATTGTTTAGATATTCATGAAAGGAACACCCTAATGTTCAAAATAAACATATTTGTTTTTAACATTAGAGAGTTATTGGATAAATTCTTGGTCCCCCAACTCCAATTTTTTTCTTTTTAATAGAGAAAGAGCATCTAGTGGTGTTGTATCGGACAAATGTAAAAATTGTCATTTATGTAAAAAGGCAATGTTTTACATTGTCAAAAAAGAGGATCAGCATCTATGCACCAAAATCACTTTATTAAGATAAAGTGGTTTTGATGGTAAAGAGTCCTTTTACAATCCAAATTTACCAGAGAAATTTCACCGCATTTTCTATTTCCAAGCAGGGCTGGATTAACATAGGGGCTGATGGAGCTGCAGCTCCAGGCCCATGGAATAGGCCCATTGATTTAAAAAAAAAAAATGTATTTTTTTTTTCACACACTACTCTTAGGGATTCCACCTGGCTTTTATTTGATTGGCACAGCCAGTATTTGAGGCTGCCTGGCTAGTGCCAATATTGCAGTGATACTGGCAATACAAATGCTGGTATTTTTCTCAGTATAAACAAGAGATTACTATGCAATACCAGCACTGGCCAGTAGGTGTCGCTGTATGTGGAGACAGGCAGGGATAGGAAGTTCCAGCTTATCCCTCCCTGCCTATCTATACTCACTGATCTGCAGGGGTGCAGCTACAGAGAGTCCAGACAGCAACTTCCACACTGCAGAGACAGCCTACAGCTCAGGGAAGTAAGGGATGGGGGGAAAGGCTGCAAGGAGACATACACTAAGGGACATTGGGAGACATTATGACACAGACATATGGGGACACAGTGTCCCCATGTCTCCCAGCCAGTGTCCCTGGTGTCTCAGTGCCCCCAGTCTGCCAGTGTCTCACTGTCCCCATGTCTCCTAGTGCCTCCATGTCTCTCAGTGCCTCAAGTGTCACAATGTCCCCATGTCTCCAAGCTAGTGTCCCTAGTGTCTGTGGCCCTGGTGTCTCAGTGTCCCCATGTCTCCCAGTGCCTCCATGTCTCAATGT